AAACATTTTCTCATAATTATGTACAATGTTTGTTTTGTTTCTAATTTATTATTTACCTATATGGATCCTCTTAATTCCAGTTTGACTGATTATTAATGACTCATTGACTGTTGATCTGTTTTGTGATTTTCTTACCGAATTTACATATGTTGCTGATGTAGTTTGCAATGGAAGCTTGATAGTTCTATACATGGAATAACAGTGAATATATACAGAGTTCCCAAAAAATTCCGAGACTGCCAAATAACTCCTCAGGAAAGCATTATCGAGAAAAACGTTACATACAAAAGTTTTAGAGTTCAAAAAGATCTGTTTACTGATCTTATCAATTTAACCTTGAATGGCGTCGCCAAGGTCAGATCAAGGTCACATCGATTTTTTTAAATGGAACACCCTACTTTTGATTCCAAAATCTAATAGCTGATGTCAAGAGCTTTTCAAAACACTGTAATAAAGTTATTTTTCATTAAGTACTTTTCGAGTTATAATGCTTGAAAGTTACAATGCCGCCGACATTAGCATTATACAAGATATCCGACCGACGGCTAAAACCTCTTAAATATTATTCAGAATCATGTTCTGGATAACATTTGTTAAGATCAAGGCCATTGGAGATTATTCCTCTTATTTTCATTTTTGCACTAAAAATTTATTTTTGTACTAAAAATTAATTTTTGCACTAAAAATTGATTTTTACTTAAAAATGAAAATAAGAAGTATAACCTCTATTGACCTTGATCTTGACAAATGTTTTCAGAACATGATCTTGAACGATATTCACTCAGACAGCACAGTAACGTTTTAGAAATGTATTTAAAACGTACATGTTGGACGTTTTGGACATATTAAAAACATCCAGATTAAATCCATGGATATTTTAAAAACGTTTCAAAAACATCCAGTGTTACTAATAAAAATTTGTGCAGTTTAACTGAACATCCAGTCAGTTACTGTCTAATATTTAATCTTAACGTTATTACGACTATTTTCAGGTTAGGAAATCATACGCTGTACTTTCACAGTACCAGTTATCATGTATATTGTATAGTAACAGTATGGTATTTTGAAGATATCGTGGGATATCGCACGCTTGGTAGATCTGGGTAGATTTTTCGTCGTTGAAAATTTGCATCACAGCACAGATGTCCTAGGGACGTCCATGGGACGTTCAAAAGATGTCCGTACATATTAACAAAAGTGAAATTCCTCGTGCGGTTTTAAAAAAATTTTCACTTGTCAAGTCAGCGAAAGCAACATGTCGCGAACAGATTTAGAAAATTTTTTATATGAGATGAATATTTTTAAAATGTTCAAATGTGAACATACTTTGAATAACGTACGTTTTTAAAACATTCGTACTAAGTCCATGGACGTTTGGACCAGATTGAAACCAAGTCTGGATGTCCAATGGATGTCATGTGCTGTCTGGGCAAGAGGTTTTAGCCGTCAAATACCTTGCGTAATGCTAATGTCGACGACGCTGTAACTTTTAAGTTTTATAACTCTAAAAGAATTTAATGAAAAATAATTTTATTAGTGTTTTTAAAAGCTCTTGACACCAGCTATTAGATTCTGACATCAAAAATAGGGTGTTTCATTTAAAAAAAAAATCGATTTAACCTTACCTTGGCGACGCCATTCAAGGTTAAACTGATAAGATCAGTAAATAGATCTTTTTGAAGCTTAAAACTTTTGTATTTAATGTTTTTCTCGATAACGCTTTCCTGAGGAGTTATTTATTTGGCCGTCCTGAAACTTTTTAGACACTTTGTATAACAGTAATAAAATATAATGTATATTAATATAATGTATAATAAATAATGTATATAAAATATAATGTATATTAAATAAATTTGGACATTTATTCAAATTATAAATTATTGTTCAATTAGTTATTGATATTAATAATGTTTAAAATAAACGCCATATATATTTCCTTTCTTATGCCAAAGAATATACAACTATCATGGAATTGAATATTAGAATACATTACCTCGACTAACGATAAATATTCCTGAAACATTCGTAAAATGTTCCAAAAACCCCAAAATAACATTCCAAGAATAATTCGGAATATTTCGAAATATTTTCAGAATGTGAAAGCAACATTCAAATAATAATCGTTAAATTCCAGTCATACATTAATACATATTCGAAGAATGTTTCATATATGTATATTCGGCAAAATAATAATCTTATATTTTCCCAGAAATGTTAGGTCTGGGAGTTCCTGAAATAAATTTTTATAATAAAATTGTACTGTCAAAAACACATTTCATTTACTTTCCTATACAACATTTTTACGTCTTAAAGACGTGTAAAAGACGTACGTCTGAAAGTTCCGAAGTCATATTTTAAAACGTCTTAAAATTATTAGGAAGACGTCTTTAAGACGTCTTGAAGACGTCTTGTGACGCTTTTTGTGACATCTTTAGGGAGTTTTTCAGACTATCCTATATTTAGACGTCTTAAATCATGATGTCTTTAAAACGTCTAATGCGACGTCTACAATGAGATTTTAAGACGTTAAACTTAAGCTTTAAGCCTTAAGTCTTAAGAAATTGACCAATCACAGTCAAATGTGAGGAGAATAATCGACTATGATTGGACATTTTTTTACGGCTTAAGGTTTAAAACTTAAGTTTTACGCCTTAAAGTCTCATTGTAGACGCCGCTTCAAGCGGGGTCTACAATAGAAGTCGTAGCAGTCGTAGAGTCTTAAGTCGTAGAAAATTAACCAATCACAGTAGAATATGAAAAGAATAATCGACTATGATTGGTCAATTTTCTACGACTTAAGACCCTACGACTGCTACAACTTCTATTGTAGACCCCGCATAAAAGACGTCTGAAAAAGAGATGTCTTTAGGATATGACCAAAAGTCGTCTTAAAGACGAATTTTAGACAGTCTTAAAAACAGTCTTAAAGACTTAAAGACAGTCTTAAAGACGTCTTAAAATGGACGTTTAAATAGCGTCTAAAAAAACTTTAGGATTTAACTAAAAGTCTTAAAGACGTCTTTTTTGAGACGCCATTAGGGAGTTTTTTAGACATTCGTGTTCTCTGGGTTCCTTGTAACTCTATTATGGGGACTCGCTTTACAATGCTCAATAATGCTTCACAAACAAAAAAAATGCTACATTTTTTATATTCTTTCTCATATAATTCTTATTTTCATATTGCTCGCAGGTGAGTGAATTTTGTGATATATACAAAAAGTGTTTATACAGTATATTCCGAATATTAATATTAATATTAGTAATATTTGTATATACTGTAAAAATTCTTTTGCTGTTCGGAATATTCGGCACATTAAAAATACAAATCAAATTTTTTGTTGAATAATTAACGTTAGTTTTATCTAGTTTAAATAATACGCATAAAACATTATCTACAAAAAATATTTCTTAAAAGTACAAGTTTTATACAAACGCTAAAATAAAAACGACATATATTTAAAAATAAATAATTGTATAATACGGTGTTACATATATATTTTAATAAAATATAATTAGAATTATATTTTATTATATATAAGCAATTTTGAGCAATACCCCAGATAGCACATTATATTCTGAGAATATTTTGAGAATATAATAAAAAGATCACGTCTGATATTCGTATGATATTCCTATGTCCGCAGCAACATTGTTCGTAGTATATCCTCAGAATATCGAGATAAATTTCGAAAATTTTCCGCGCGACACGCGATATCCAATGAGTGTACAGCTTTAACGATCTTCTCATTCTAAATGTATACTCTCATTGGATATCGCGCTAGTGTGCCGGGGCCATGAGGATCCGGGCTACAGCTGTTGTACACTATTCTAATCTAAGGGGTCGATTCTATAACTCTTAACGACAGTCGTTGATGTCATTGCGCAGCTTTTTTACTCTACATAATATTTGCGCAACGACATTAATGACTGTCGTTAAGAGTTAAACGGGGAGCACAGACTCTTGCATAAAGGCCCGTCTACAATACATGGAGTAAGAAGTTAGAGTAAGAAATTGACCAATCACAGTCGAATGTGAGAAGAATAATCGACTGTGATTGGTCAATTTCTTACTCTTACTTCTTATTCCGTGTATTGTAGACGACGCCTTACGCATAACACGTAAAGGCCCGTCTACAATACACGGAGTAAGAAGTAAGAGTAAGAAATTAACCAATCACAGTCGATTATTCTTCTCACATTCGACTG